GGGTGGAGGTACGACAGTAGGATATGCTTGCAGTGAATTAATTATGGAAAACAAGGTTTTTACTCGATAGAGATTTTGATTTTCTTTACATTGTGTAATTACGAATTACAATGTATAGGTAACTTTGTTTCAGTAAGCTATGTTACATCATGCTGTTGGCCTGTTTTTTTTTTTTAATTGGGGAAGGGAGATCTTCACGACTTTTCCAATTTTTGTTTCCCCTACCAAAGTCCCATTCGTGGTGGTGTATTGAGCGGAGCAAAAACCTTGCTTTGTACGTTCTCTCGATATCATTGAAATAAGATGGGTGTGTCATGGTTTTTGTTCTTACTTTTATTTGTAGATTTTCTTAATCTATTGGTAGTGAACTGTAGTCGTTATGTTATTGACTAGTTGTTGCAGAAGTCCTATTGAGATACCCCCCCCCCCCCCTTTTTCGTACAGAGCTAATATTTTAAAACATTTGTTGCAGTGTCAATCAAAGCCAGAGGATTTCAGTTACTCCTAATGAAACGTCTTTTTTATGAGGGCACTTGGCAGATTTAAAAAAAATCTGTCTGTCTGGGTACCATCTAGCTGTTACTTTTTCTATGAATCAAAAGGGACTTTAGATTGTCACTGGTAATTACAACCAAATAAAAAAGAACACGTCGATATTTGTAACGGAAAGGTGCTGAGGCTGTGCCGACACTGGTTTGCCTACAAAATCAAAGGGTTTGAAAAGGGAACTCGGCTAAGACGCTTTCAACACCCGTCTGCTTCTGCGGTATTCGCACTGCAAGGTGATTCTGTGTGGTTAGTGTGCTTCTTTTGAGAGGTCTTTAACATTACTGGCTTACGGCTGATTGGGGGATTAGAATCGTTCCTCTTTCAATCGCTGTCGTAATCCCATCCCGACAGAGACCTACCTGCGGGCCTCCTCCCCCTCGTAAGCCTCATTGCCCACCTCGACTCCGTGAATGGCGCGTTCTGTGCTTTTGTCACGGCCGCCTGTTGTCCCCCACGGGAGGCAATCGAGTACCTTCTGAACGTGGACAATCAGCCATTGTGAGCGGGACAATTTGTTTTGACGGGAAAGAGAAATTGATTCGGAACAGATTTTCTCCCTCCTTGAGCATCTTATATGCGGACTGTTGGCAGAAAAAAAAAATCTTTCGCGATCATGAAACTGAACCATACAGCATTTTTGTTGGAGCTCTGCAATATTTTCATAACCAGCCCCCTTTTCTGCTTTTATGACGTGTAATAATATATTATATATATACAAACTATATACACACACACACATACACACACATATATATAAGAATTCAATGAGCACGGGAATAAAGCTGTCCCCGTGGTTTTATGCACCCGCATAATTTAGCAAAATTTGATAATTTTTCTGCATAATTTCTGATTATTTTCTTTTATCATTCTGTGTTCAAATCAACAGAATCGCATCTTTTCACATTTTTTGGGCTCAGTTTGCATAATTTCAGAATTTTCTTTCATAAAACGACGGGGACAGATAAAGTCCAGTTTTGCAGTATGGCGTGCGCTGACCGACAGGGAATGAATCAGAAACTTCACGTTCTTTTTACATCAGAATTATGATGATGATGGTTTAACCTATATTATTTCAGTTAGATAACACGTCTTACTGTGGCCGCAGGTATGATCCAGTTTTTAATTACATGTAATTAAAAATGCTTTGTCTGGCGACGGCGTATAGATTTTATCATCTTATTTACTTAAAAGGTCGAGGAAAGGCTCAGCTGATAATATGGCAATTCCAGTTGGCCTAAATACAAGTCCTGGCAGAGATGTTTCTGGACTGATTTTTTCTTCTTGTTTTTTTTTTTCCCTTGTTTTTTTTTTCCCTTGTTTTTTTCATCAAGTTTTGGTCGACACCCCTGCCTTTTTTCTCTGTGTGTAATGACACAGTTTCGTGGTCTGTTCTGCACTGTTTCTGGACTTACTTTTACCCTCGTTTTTTTCGCTGTCACGTTTTAGCTGACACACACGTGTCTGTTTTCTCGAGTGTAATGGCTCATAGTCTCGTGGTCTGTTTCGCAGTTGGGTGTTTAACGAGTA